ATGTCTCTTTGGAATGAGTATTATTTGGGGCTGGTTACTTTTAATAAACTGTAGATGGGAAGGAGGCTCTGAGGAGTGGAAACTGCTTGCCCTTTGTTAGGAGACATTTACATTGTAAAGGAAATCTCCATCTGTAAAGGTGTCTCCCTCTCTGTACCAGGAAGAAGGAGGGGATGACCTTATCTCTAGAAACTCTTAATGAACGCCAAAGGCAAGGACTTAAATCTGCATTTGTTTACTGTACTTGTGTGGTAATCTCCCATAATCAACTCCCCCTCCACCCCCAACATCTTCCTTTGTCATTAGCTGAAGATGACATTTAAGGTGGGGGCTTCAGCCATTTTGGTGAGTTTCTCAGTTTGCCTGAGCCTCTCCCATGTATACATGTTATAAAGCTTTGTTTAATTTTCTCCTGTTATTCCATCTCACGTGAATTTAGTTTGTTCTCTGGCCAGAAGAACCCACAGAGGGTAGAGGAAATGTCTTCCTCCCCTACAAGAATCCAGACTTGAAAGGCTACATACTGTTTGCTTCCATTTGTATGGCATCCTGGAAAAGGTGACTTAGGGAAACAGAAAAAGATCAGTGGTTTCTAAAGGTTGGAGGTGGGTAGGAGAGGTTGATCACAGAGAAGTAAAGATCTGGGGTGATGTAAGTGTTCTGTATCTTGATGGTGGTAGTGGGTATATGACTGTTTCCATTTGTCAGAAATTATAGAACCATGCATCAAAAAGTATGAATTTTACGGTGTGCAGATTTTTAAACAGTGAATACAAAACAATAAAGATATTAGAAGATACAACAAGTGGCCAATAAATATTACTAACACTATTAATTTTAACAATATTTACTATTATTAACGTGGCTAGACGAGAGGAAGATGGCCTAAAAGAGGTACAATTGGAATGCTTTGACAATCAACGTGACTTCACTCCAGAGGAATGCAGAGACATGAGAGGAAACAGGAAGAAATTTGTTCCATAAAAGAGTAAGAAGAATAAACTAGGAAAGAAATATTGATTTATAGGGGCCAAGAGTCCAAATTACCAAGACTTAATAGATAAACTTAAGTTTGATCTGAATGGGTATCAATAAATAGGGGCTCCCTTGAATTTGGTGTGAGGGATGGGGCAGCAATAGAACAGGCTTCTACTAGCAGGAAGAGTGGAAGGGTCGCTCTCATCATCATGTGTAAATCAGGGAGGGATATTCAAAGTAAGGTAAGGTCACAGGGAAAGCTATGCAGGCAGGTGTCCTAGAAATCAGGGCACCTAGAACACTGGGTGCAGAGCCAGGCTCCTGACTCAGACACAGTAGCCAACAATAAGGATCCATTCAGAAAGCCAACAGGACTCACACAACTGCTGTGACTGGTGCTCATGGCCAAAATTCATCCCACCGGTGACCTAAATAGCAGTGTGGAAGAAAGCAGCAAACTTTGCCAGAGGTCCATTCCCTTGGTGAGTTTTTTGGTAAAGGGTAACAGAACAGAGTGAGGATGGAAAGAAGCCATTAACATAATATGTAATTGGGCTTTCACTGTCTCTGTGTCAGGGTCCCCTTCTACAGATGAGGAACAAGGTCTAGTGCCTGAAAACAAAAAAATCAAAGGGGTAAGATATTGATCTCAGGAGATCCCTGGCACCCGTCATGGAAAAGATGACATTTGAACTGACTTGAAGAGATTTGTACACCAAAAATGTGGGGCTAGATGAAAGGAAGGGAGAGGAGAAGAGGGAGAAAGGGAGGAAGAATGAAAGACAACAGGGAAGAAAATATTGAAAATGAAGGCAATGTAAGCAAAGACAAAAAGCCACATGGAGAATATGTGTAAGTAACAGGAAATGGGCTAATCTGAAGGGAGCAGAGCTCTTGGAGAAGTAGCAGGAAGTGGCTGCAGTATCCTTGAATGAAATCATTCACAGGGAGGCATAACTGCTCTTGCTTTGGATGTTAGATACAATATTTGTAAACCGGGGAATAGGACGATCTGGGTTATCTACTTCCTGGCACTGTTAGTTCACAGCTTCATTCAATTAAACAAATATTAATTGAGGAACTATCATACCTAATGGGCTGCAACGTGCTGTGAGTAATCCAGAAATAATATGCCACTATGCCTTTAAGTGGGGTTTACAATCTGGAAAGCCGAATCCAAAATATCTACAAGAAAAAAAATAGCCTGAGTAAAAGGATTAATGAATCTGCCTTTCAGTCTTTACCTCCAGGGTACAGAATCAATAAGCACTTTCTGAATGTTTAGTATTTGCAATATTCTGTGCTAAATATTATGGGACATATTCTCGAATTAGCCTTGTTTTTTTTTCACTTCCTTCTCTTTCCTTCCTTTCTAGAACTTAATGTATCTGGATCTGCTACTATGTACCAAGCAGTGTATAAATCAGGAGACAAGAAAGAAACCATGTTGCAAAATGAGATTTAAAAATTCTATTTTAGAGATGGGTAAACTGAGACTGAGAATAGTTAGAAAATTGGTCCAGGGTCAAACAGGGAACAAGTTAAGGAGCTGAGATTCAGCTCAGACCTCAAAACTTTAAAATAATTGTTTTACACTGAGCAAAATATAGTCTCTGAAAATTACAATTTATAGAGATTAAAAGACTCATCATTTGGTTGAGAAAATTCTTCCTGAAAGAGGAAACAGTACAGCTCAATTTTGTGCCAGATAACAGGTTCTCCAGAGTCCAGCTCATTTTGAGACAGGTGATTATTCAAGCGGGCTGGAATATTACCATTTCTATTTTTCTCCTTACTTTTATGTTTCCATGTTGATCTCTTTCCTTTTCCTTTTTCTAAAGCCATTTTCAATTAAGATTTCTAATTAGATTCCAAATTTGAGACACATATCTAGTAGAAAGCAAATGGCATGAGCAGTAATTAAGGGACAGCTGTGTCTTGTCTTTCTGGGTATGAAAGCCCTTTCTGAGGCTTTTGTTTCTAAGTTATGAAATCCCAGGGAATTTGTTATGACTTTTTTCTTATTCTTTTTAATTTTTATCTTTTCCTTGTTTTTCTTATTTTTTCTTATTTTTAATAATAAATAATTGATCTAAAAAAGTCAACGCTCTTTCCAACACAGATGCTGAGAACCTCTCTTCTGGAATGGGTGGAGGTTAACGCTAATCCTCTCGTCTTTGAAACTTTTATTGCTGCAAATACAAGATCAGGTTTTACTAAAAAAATCAAATCATTCTTTAGGTGCTAAAGTAGGCATTACCCTCAGTCATTTTCCTCACTTTAAGACTTTTTTAAATTATGAGAATTTTACACATCGAGGAGAATAAGCATTTTCGATGGAAAGGAGTATGATTCAGAACAACTGAGGTGTGAACAGTATTTTCTTTGTGGTTTTCCTTTGTCTGTTTAAGAGAACAAATATTACTAATACTCATATTGAAAATTACTTAGTAAGCTCTTACTCCAGTACTCCTTATTGGTACTTACGGCTATACTTTCACATGCAAAGCATAAGCAAAATGTGAAACAATTAACCATACAATTCAGGTCAAGAAAAAATTTTCTGCCTGAGAAAGCTAAAGCACTGGAGCAAACAGATTTTTTTCTGGTTTGAATTATCTAGATTCTAGAAAATTATCTAATATAATTTAATATGCGAAGCCATAAAATAGGACAAGTTACCTAAAAGCAGGCCAGCCTCAGGAGCATGAAGAACCTCTTAAAATGTATTTTCCTGTGCAACTGAAATTTCACAGTGTTGTAAACTATTATGACCTCAATTAAAAAAAAATAAAGTACATTTCCAAGAGAGAAACTTGAAACATCTCCTGTTGTAAACATGGAAATAGCCTGGGAAATGTCAAGTTGCGTAAAGGTACACACACACATACATATACACATATGTATAAATAGATACACGCATATATACACATATTTATTTGTTTGTTTACTGTAGAACTTCTCAGAACCTACAATATGTTAATGTGCACTTAAAGCTCCTGATAGTGTCAGAGCATTCCGAAAATTTTCAAACTTTCTTGACCCAAACCATTTTATGCAGAACATATCACGGAACTAGTGTCCAGAGGAGAAATGACCACATGGACAACCTCTTTGCATGGTCCTAAGATGTCAACACTGTAGTTTGGCAGGAGGTGTAGGTTGGGTGGTAGATTTGAAAGCATCTATATTCAGAGGACCAGGAGAGAAGACCAAATGACATTGCACGGAAACGTCAAGGGCAGAAAAGTGGCCAAGCAGAGCTGGTCCAAAGACACCTAACCATGGCCAGGAAGGCCGTATGAGACTGGGCCAGCTTGCATAGTCATCTTCAAGCCAGCTTCATCTTACGTCTCTCTCTACTTCTGTGATGACTTAGCTACTGCCACTTCATCCTTCTTTCCATCATTTTCTTTATTCACTGCTGTTCCATCTGCCTGGGACTCATGTCCTCACACTTCAGCTCGTTGTTTAAATATCGTCTTCCAGAGAAATACCCTATATTTAGTCAATCCACAGTGGATTCTTCCCTTGTCTCTCAATATTTTCTCCCACAGAACTCTGCTATTTCTCTTCATAGAATTTATCATAGTTTTTATTCATATATTGATATTTGCTAATTCCTGTAGCCTCCACTGGACTGTGGAGTCCATGAGGGGGAATGGACCATGGCTGTTTTGTTCAATTCTGTAAAACCACCAAATACCTCAGAGATGAGGCTTCACCATATAACAGGCCTTTGATGAATATGTGCTGATTTAATAATAAGTAATAATAATAACTAGTTAATTCTCTTACATTTCTGTCTAGGCCTGGCCTAACAGAAATCCTCAAAATTGATTTAATTATACATAGAAATCAATTCCTCTTTAGCCTATGGTCAACCATCTATAACACACAGTCACACATGTTCTACGACACCAAACTGGCATTTCTGTGAAAAACTTTTTAATAATAAGGGCTATAAGTTTGAATTAATCATCCCTCTAAAGGAATATTGTGTGTTAATTACTGAGACTCACTCTTGTATCTGCTTTATTGTTGTATTCCTCAAACAGCTCTGCTTTTTGATTATTGCTTTGCTGCTTTCAGAGCTCTGTAAAGGACAAAAGGACAAAATGTTAGGATTTGGTGTTTCACTGGGAACTTCTCCAGCTAAAATATTTAATATGCTTATAATGCCCATCGTACCAAACTTGAGGACTTATCATCACAAGATCCATGGAACATAGCTATTTCTTGTTTGTATTCCTAGTTAATCTGCTTCATTCAGCTTACAGAGCTCCACCAGAAGGAACTAGAGCTGACCCTTATTTATTTGCTTACATGAGCCAAGCACTATTCCAAGTTGCATGGATTAACTCATAACCACTGGGCAGGCAAGAGTTAACTCAGAAGGCCTGAGTTACCCAAACCGTGCACTTTCCAAAGAAAGGCCCACCTTCAGGACTGGCCCTTGGCCAGCTTCTAGAAGATAACCTGTGAGCTCTTGAAACAGTCTGCCCGATAAGAGTTTTTGTCTGCCTGAGGCCTTGGCCTATGCTGTTCCAGTTTGACCAGATATGTTTATGTTGAACACCTGTTTTTGCTTGGGGAAAGGGAGGCTGAAGTCTGAGTAGCTGAGGTCAATCATCTGGTGCTACATGCTCATGTGACTGACCGCTAATAAAACCACACGACTGGCCAACAATAAAACTCGAGAAACCAAAGTTCCGCTGAGCTTCCCTGACTGACCACACGTCACGCATGTAGTCACACATCATTGCTGGTAGAATTAAGTACACCCTCACGTGACTCCACTGGGAAGGGACACCTAGAAGTTAGTGGTTGCCTTATGTGCTTTACCCTTTGCTGATTTTAATATGTCTTTCTCTGTAATAAACCATGGCTCTGAGTATAACAGCTTTGCTGAATCTTAGGAGTCCTTTCAGCAAATCATCAGCCCTGAAGGTGGCCTTGAGGACCCCCACACAACCACCCTGTGAGCTAGGTACTACTATTATCCACATTTTATAGACAGAGAAACTGGCAAAGAAAGGTGAGGTAACTCAGAGGCCCATGGCTAGTTTAAGTGTCAGTATTTTAATTTGAACTCACTGATTTGGTTATAGACTTTGGGCATTTTACCACTATGTCACATTGTTTACCAAAATACTTGTTATTATATGTCATACAATACATGTATAAAAAATACCCCTTGGTTCTTTTTCCCATTTCATTATCAGGAATGATAGTTTTCAAATTGTATATTTACTTTCAATTACCAAGATTTCATTTTATCTGCTAAAAAGAGAACCATAACTCTTATTGAGTCAAAGTTGTTCTTTAGCCACGTATTTTATTCAAAATGAATTTTTCTCCAGTTATGTCAATGATACGGACTTGACCTATATTTTTCTCACTCACATTCTGATATATTTCTTCCCATTCTATAAAGTTTATAATGTAGGAGGATGAAAACTATAAAGAGTCAGCTTTAAAGCACACCAGGTCTTATTTAATGTGAGGAAACAAACACATTATCACAATTTTTCTTAAGATTTCTATTTTTTTAATCTGATAGATCTAGAGTTGCTTTTAAGACAAGTGTTAAAAAAATAGTTCATAATAAAAGAAAGTATGAAAATAATCATGGAGTTGCTACTAAAGAAAATACAATCTACTGATTTCTAAACATAAAAAAGAAAAATAATATACCAGTTATATAGAAAAGTCCCAATTTTGGTATATCAAGCTTTTAGTCAGGTAGACTTTGCAAAAAACATTGGTCTAATTAATCATTGTCATTAGGGGTCTGAGATAGTAGCTTTATTCTAACACTTGAACAAAACTGTCATTCATTCTCTTATCTTTTTTTCAATCTACCCAAAGGTAAGCATTGCACTCTGTTGTACATACGGTGGCTGACAGTTGTCTCGTCCTTATCACCAAAACAGATGGCATATCTCTTGATATTTTGAGGGGTCATTACATCCATGAAGATAATGAGTCTACCTTGCAAGGTGGAGGTACCTAGGTCAACGTAGTCTCCTATGGTTCATAGTGCCCAAGCAAGCCCTTGAAATAACCTTCAAAAACACAAGTACAGCCCACAGAGGAAGGGCAGCACCTCACACAGTGATGATGAAATGCGCCGAATGTAAACTGGATAATTGTGCAAGTCCAAAGAACAAAAGTCTACGACATGGAAGGACCAGCTGTGTTATGTTAGCCTCAGTCTTTCAGACTTGTTATGGTCCCATTATGATGTTAACATTTGTCAGCTCCCATCATGTAGCAAGAACTCAAACCCACTGAACTGTACGGTGACTTAAAATGAACACCCCACAGAGTTAATGCAAACAAAAAGTCTTAACACTTATCACTACCTTTACAATAAATGACCAAATAGAATACTTTCCTTAATTAGGATATAAAAATTTTCTTTAAGTAGAAATACAAAATTCTGTTTTAAACAACTTCTGGATGTTAAATTGAGTTGAACATTATTAGTTAGGATTAAAATATGGAATACTAAAACAAAAATTGGAGTATCCTCTATTGGGCTCTACCTTATCCTATGAGGTTGGTGCCTTCTTTGGTCTCTATAGCCACTCCCTTTATGGTCCTGAATGGGGCTTTCATCACTCACATTTTGTGTCTCTTTCTACCCCAGAGTCCTAATGTGATGGGGATATAGCTAAAGACAAATCTGGCTATTTTCCTTTTCCGTGTTGCCCCATGAAAGAAAGCTGGCCTTGAAATGCTTTGTTTGTTGTTGATCTCAGACAGCCTGACAGATTCAAGTCAAGAGCCCTCATCAGTGAGAGGTTTTGGGATATTATACCAAAGGCAGGAGCTGAGTGAGGTGGAGTTTAGAAAAGATCAGGGAGAGAGTATGCCATATATTTCAAGAAATTGTGCAATATGGAGGTTCTCATGGATTCTGAAAAACATACATTTGCCACCTAAAAGATACAACAATTAAAAGCCTTCTTCACAGATACACATGTAGTTACTAGAACTTATTATAATTAACTGTCTCTAAAATAGATATAAAAATTTAATTCTATCTCCAAAAGCACTTCTTAAAATATTACTTTTGCTCTCCAATTCCCATCACTTATTGTGAAGGCAAAGCAGAATTTAGCTGACAATATTCTCAAAATGATCTTCACATCAACTAAAAAATTACAAAAAAAATTCTATTAGAATTAATAATTCAAAAAAAGTCTCAGGATGCATGGTAAATTTGTAACAATAATTTTTTGATATAATAGCAATAAACAGAAAGTAAAATTTTCAAAATAAATGAATATAACTCCCAGTAGCATTAACTATAACCTGAGTCTCTACAGCAGTAACAACAAAATCAATAACTGCTTATGAATAACTCCGGAGAGAAAATTATGAAAAGCTATGAAGAGAAATAAGGAATTATAATATATGCGTGAGTGGGACAGTATTTACATCATAAATATCACTTCTTCCCAAATTAATCTATATTTTTAGCATAATTCCAATCAAAATCCTAAAGTGAGTAATTTTAGAGCCTGTTAAAATTCTCTAAAATTCATTTGAAGAAAGAGTTGTGAATCATAAAGAAACTCTGAAGTATGAATATTAAAAAGAAGTTTTGCTCTATCTAGTGATAAAAATATATTGTTATGACACAGTATTTAACACGTGCAGAACTGGATTAGAAACTGATATGCAGATTAGTAGGAAAATATAGATATCCCAGAAACATCCCATTATATGCATTCACTCAACAAATATTTGATGCCTATCATATGCCAAACATGACACTAGTTATTAAAGGGACAGTACAATATCTGCCATCAGAAAGTTTGAAGGGGAAAAAAAATTAATAGCTGTTTTCATTACGGTTGAAATCGATACAAATGGGCATAGGATTCCAAATGGGGATAGGATTCCATGGATACATATAGAAAGGGAATCTAAATCAAGAGTATGATAAAAATGAACACCACAAATTAATGAGAAAGAAAGGAATTGTTTAATAAATAATGCTGAGATAATTGCCTAGCTTATTAGAATAAAATCAAATATGTTCCATTAGACATAGATATACATTCCAGATGTATTATTAAATTAAATACAAATAAAATGTGACATAAAAATAAAGAAAAATGCAATTGATTGTTTATATGCCTTTTGAGAGAAGTTAGGTCTACTTATGAAGCTTATAAATGCAAAAAGAAATTCGAAAGAAAATGCCTGGTAGATTGGACTATGTAAAAAAAAAACTTCCCTAAGTCAAACCAAAATTTAAAAGGTAAAATAGATACAAAATTATTTGCAACGAATGCAAAATATCAAAATCTATTTTATATAAATACTAAATGCCAAACTATCAAAGGATACTTCACAATAAAGAAACTCATTAACGAACATATGGAAAAAATGTTCAGCCTCATTAGTACTCAAGGAAATAGCCATTAAAACAATGACTGACAATATTTCATCTGACAAATTGGCAAAGAAGACAACATTTTCATGCTTGATGCCATTTTGAAATTATTTTGAATGCCACTTTCCTACAACCCCTAAGAGCTCTTAAAGTTTTCCTCCCCTGTCCCAGAAGATCTAGGAAGCATTCTCACCAAATATAATTTGCACAAGATGTTCATTTCAGGCACATGCTATTTTAACTCCCACTAAATCACAATACCCTTTAGGTAAGTGACTGTCAAGTATTCATTATGGTATTACGGGTACCACATGCAGTACACAATAAACATGCAATAAATGTGTTGAACGTTGAATAGATGAATAGATGAAGTTGTTTCTTCACCATTAAAGTAAATAAAAGATTAGAAGACATTTGTTTCTGTCCAAAATGACCATAAGACATTTGGTCCATAAGATATTTGGTCTATACCCAAAGGTCCTTGACATTTGGTCCTTTCCAAAAATTCCATGAGACATTTGGCCCATGGCAAAAGGTCCATCATACCTGGTCTTCTTTGGTGCTGTCCAAAATGTCCATGCAGACATCTGATCCATGCCAAAAGGTCGTTGATATTTGGTGCTGTCCAAAACCATTTGGCATGGACCAAATATGTTTACGGATGTTTCAGACAGGACTAAATG